CTTACCTTTAGTTTCTTTCACACTGTCCTGAGGGAAGCAACCACAGGCGTCAGCCGTCACCTCTGAGTCCTTCGAGCGCCCGCCCAACCCGCCGATTCCTTGGACGACTCGCACTTGATCCGCACTCGGACAACCGCGGGAATAGGGCGCAATCTTAGCACATCACACGAACGAGGAACGGCGCTTCCTTGCGTAAATTTAACATTTCGTGCTCTCGTGTGTAGCAGCGCGAACACAGGAGAGAGCTACCCACGGAGACAAAGACAAACAACATGTGGCTTTAGCTGTGAATGGATTTGGCTTGGATATCTCTGTGAGGAAAAAAAAAACATATGTCGCTGCTATAAACTGAAAAAAAAATGTATGTTATCTAGCAAAATGACTTTAAAAGTAATAAACGGTTATTCAAAAAACAAGTTACAACTTATGAATATTTTCGCAGGTTTTTGTTTTGTTTTTGCTCTAGCAGACGACAGCCTCCTACTGCTTCTACGACAGACGTAGGTTTCACGTTCGGTGCGTGTCGCCGACGCAAAGCTCTACAGTAGTGATATCAGAGTTATCAATTCTCAATGAATAATAGGATGGCTACAAAGCAGTAACATTTTGACATAGTGCAGTACGCACTCTTTCAAGGTATGACATTTCTTTGCTCTGAAGCAAATCGAAGCAAGCGGTCCAGCACAATCAGCTGATGTCGCCACTACGCGAGGCATGGTCGTGCGCAATAACGTCGCGCCCCGCGCTCGATTTGTCATCAAGCGATAGAGCTACTAAGTGGAATACAGCTAGATACAGGGATTAATGGCGTATCACTCTAATTCCCTGTGGTGGCCGACTCAATCGCAAGAGAGCCCCGGGAAACAACCTTCAACTGCTCAAGCTTGTGTGTGGGTGTAAAAATACTTGTTTTCATCCGCGGCGGGGCAGCAATCTATAGTTGAAAGACATGCGAAAAGCATGTGACGTATATACAATCCCAAAACATATGCACACAACAATAGATACGATCGCTTTTTTTTTCTTTATTGACAATAGATACGATCGCATATCGTACATAAATAAGCCAACACATAGCGTGTGAAGAGCAAATTTATATACATAACTTAAACCCTCCGCTACCTTCAGCGCGAATAGCTTAGCAAGCTAACGCACTCGGTTCACGTGCACGAGCACAACTAAGTGGCGCAGGTTCGAGTCCCGCCAAGTATAATTTTTTTTGTTTTTTTTTCAACGATTTATTGTACTGCTATCTTTTCTAATGCCTTAGGTTATAAAACAAAATAAAAGCAACATTGCGTTCAAGTACGTATGTGGGACTGTGTTTTTTGCGCAACAGTTATTAGTATTTTTATTTTCATTATTAATTTTTTTATTTATTTCATAATATAACAAAATTAAGGACTAAGGGGAATAATGGGTCTGCTTGATTGTGAAAGGACTCGAGAAGTGAGAAAACTCAAACGAAAAAATTTATTTGAGAAAAAACTGAGCATTTCACCGCCGGACCAGTTTCTTCAAGGGTAGGCCCTAGGTATGCGCGAGACTTGCTATATGACTCCTCTCAAGCTGTGGCAGTTGAGGGAAGGCAATATCACCGAGAAGCAGTTTCAAAATATATTTTGGTTGATGTTTTTTGATTCCTCTAAAATAAGGGCTGCACAATTGTGATCGAGCCAAACCAAGATTTGCGAGCACAAAGTCATCAGACAGAAAATAAATAATGTTGATTGTTTGAAAAATTGCTCTTAATAAAAGGAAGAGTTATGGAGTGCTACGTAGCTTAACTCGCAGTAGGAATTTTATATATACATATAGATAGTTTAAAATGGACAATGTTGCACACACAGACATTGGTTAAATTTCTTTGCAGCACAGTTGAAGCATCTATGTAGAACTGAAGCATCAAGAGAAGCTCATGCGTCCTCACTTTATTGCGCTTTACATAGCTTGTATGGGTCCATGCAGCCATGATATGATATATTTTAAAGCATTTGTTTAACCTATAATCTTCTTATTCATTAAAGCTGGCCCATAAGTTGTGTCTTATGTAGCACTACAATTGAAGCGTAATCTGCATGGTGGTCTGAAACAATGCTTTTGAAGATCTCAAAACGACCCAGCTCTATACAGGACCATCCGTGCATCAATGATAAGCACCATTATGTGTTTGTACATATCAGTTGTGCTCTCATACTTAATTATTTTTCTGACCACTCCCTCTGCCCCTACCTCGTTTCTGTCGTGAAGCTGTGGCAAGTTGTGTATAGCTGTATCTATATTGTAGGAGCACATATATTATCAATAAAAAATTATTTTTAGGCTACATGCAATTAGTTTTCATAGATTTTCATTTCTTTTGTCGGTGCTCAGGAGAGCTAAGCTCATGGTCGATATTGTAAAATGACATTTCTCTTTGCCAATGTTAATGAGAACAGTTTCATTTATATTGACAAGTTCATTCACATTGGATTTAGTTCTCATTATTATTGTTTCTACCAAAAAACGAGCCCTTGAACTTATGCTTTGCTTGCTTAATTTGTTTTCGTGTGACAGCATGCAAGTAAAATGACAGTTATTGTCATTCCTTGTGAATGACACATTTTCCGTGTGACAGACTTTAGCACCTGGTCATCTGCAGAAGTTGTATTCATTCTGGAAAAGGGTGAACAGTGGTGACTGACAACACAGACTAGCCTGCATTATTCTTTTGTACTATATATGTCACTGTGCATTCATTTATAACTTTATAGAGCTCGGATTTTCTGCTGAAAATGTGACAACTGCACAGTTTCCACATTTTTTTCAACAATCCACATTCCTTTCATACACTATTGCACATTTTCGTAAGCACCTTACAAAATTTGTATATTTCCGTAAGACCTTACATTCTGTATTTTCCTTATGAAAGCTTCTGTACACTCAATACACTTTCCTTATCCTCCCATATCTTCCATAATGAACTCTCCGTATGCCCCATAAGTCTCCTTATCTTTCCATATTTTCCATAAAACTCACTCCATCCACGCCATAAAACTTCCTTATCCTTCCATATACTCCATGAAAAGCATTCCATATATGCCAAAGGCAGGCCAAAAGGCTGCAGCAGGTGCGCCTATAACGTGTCACTTTCGAGACATCTTTTTCTTGAAATCCTATGGAAAGTTTGTCCATCATCTATTACCATATATCATCGTCGTAATAGAATGTTTCCTATCATAAGGATCCATAGTGCATTGGATATGTTGGAGACATGCTTGGCAGTATGGTGTGGTGTCTCCTTGAATAGACAGTTGACCCGGCTTAAGCCGTTCGCCCGCCCTGCTGTACATATTGGCAACCTATGCTTCTGGGTGTACACAAATACTGTGAAGAATGAACGAAAGAGAGAAAGAATGCACGGGAACAGCTGCATAGGGTAAGAATTTCCTTCAGGTGTGTGCATATACGGATTTAATTAGTTGCTCTCTTTCAGTGCTGATTCAGAGTTGTCAGCTTGACGCAGACGCAGAGGTTTCCTACTTGATAGAAAAAGAAAAAAATAGAGCTCACCATGGGTCCAACATGTCTGCCATAGACCTTCCTAAATTTAACAATAGGGTACTCTCGCGTGGCGATCATTCAGCAACCAAAGGGATGCTTGGTGTACACAAATTTGCCCAGTCGTCGGACTTGTAGTTTCGAAGGCACTTTGTTTATTGTTGTGCTTTGGTTTTGTTTAAAATAAAAGAACGGACCGTTGTCAACTTTGACGCCCAATTAGAATTGGTGGGCCTAAAAGGTGGCGAATTGAATCTTCTGCACATTCGCCCTTTGTCTTCCCACGCGAAGCCGAATGGAGCCGAAAGAAGGAAGATTACACAAATTTGTGCTCTGCCGATGTCCCGTGCTTGCAGAAGCGCTGTGCAGTGCCGCTCCCATAGACACTAGCACTGGCATTCCCTCTAATGTACTTATAAAAAACTCCATGATGTCCACTACAGTATTCCTCATTCTGAGGAATAACTTGCCATCTTTATGGTGGATAATGGCCATAGATGACGCACATATGTTATGAATAAAAAGCAATCTTAGAGTATATCATACGAACGCCATGCTGGATATGAGTTTCGTATTATAAAAATGAGTTTACGTACAGGGCGGTCGAATAAACACATTTGGGTATCACATTTACCATCACCCATACAACGCTGTGAACATTGCGAAACACTTCTCCATTTGTTTTTCGGCTAGGGACAATGACATGTGGCCTCATGTTCAAAAATAATTTCCAGATATTCATTTGCAAGTAATATGCGGAGTGATCAAGGCTTGATGTGGTTTTCTTGGCAAAAGTTTAGGTAAATTAGCAATACGAAGCAATATTAGCAATTAGCAATACAAAGCAGCTGCGAAACTTTAGCTAGTTGAAATAATGGCCATGGTGGTTGTAAGGAAATGAATTCTAAATGTAAGGACACCTGTGTATTTAGGACTAGGTGCACTTTTAAAGACCCTCAGGGGTGCAAAATAAGGAGACTGCCACTGTGTAGTTCTTTATAACTACGTAGAGGTTTAGAACATATAGTCAAGCAATTTTTGCTCCTACTTTTCTGAAGAACCCAACGAGACATAACGTTTGCTTCTTTAGACATGTGTAAATTCTCGATGTCTTTCACCAACGTTCATAAATTTTTTGGGGGGTTTGAATCCCGAATATGCGCGGGGTAGCAGAACTTACTTTTAGCAAGTTGGGAAATATTCATCTTAGGAAGCAGAGCATTTAGCACAATACCAAAAGAGTAAGGTAAGGAACTATGACACACGTGGTGAACCATTGTTTCTCACATTATTTCGTCCTTGTCTTACGTGCATATTGGCAAAATCAAGTTTTAGGCTCGTTTTAGTAGCTATGATATTGCCCCTTCTTCCGGCTATTTCTGGGTCACCACATTTTTCTCCTCCTTTACGATTGTATTTGTTCATCTAATTATGACTTTTTCACTCATGAATTCCGTCAGGCCCGCCTCAAGCCTGGCGTCAACCTTGCGAGTCTACGAGAAACCATCCAGCAATCACTAACCGAACTATGGAACACCAATCCGACCAAGGAACCACGTGCCCTGGTTGGCCCGGAAACGTTCCGCCTATTGGAGACGCTCGGCTTCGACGTCATCGAAGTCCTTTCGCGGGCTCGCTTTGAACCACCACGGCGACAAGATGGGGCTCCGCCATCCAGGTTAGTGTATAGGCTGCATTCGCGTCTAACCCCGAAACACGGCCACACGATGTATATCGTGTAGCCTAATGAAGGGAGACTAGGCACGGTGAAGGACAATCAGGAGTATAGCCTGCAACGAGTGAAAACAAGAAGTTACTGGAGAAGCGAGCACTTTATTTAAAGCCGCAACGAACTCAGCGCCACCTCACGTGAAAATGTTTGAGTTATCATACCGTTCATAAGCTAACGTGTTGTGCCAGTGGCTCACTTCTCTGCGCCGACGACAGGCACTACATTGCCATACATTGGTATGGCACAGTGAGGCTTAACCCCTAAAAAATTAGAAACGACTAGTCCAAATAAATGTTTAAGGAGGTTCACCTTGGGTCCTCTGTACACCAATGCAATACTCTAACCATTCGGCCACAGGATTGTGTTCTACCCGTAAGCAACCGCGTTGATTCGGTTGTCACTTACATATGCTTTGGAGCACAAGACCAAACATACGAAACACTCAAAATCAAGACACCGTAGTCAAGTCGTACTAATTGTACTCCACGTACCATTTACCAAAACGAGAACACGACAAAACTTTAATCATCTACTTGGAGGACCCTGCAAATTTTATTTATTTGTTTCATTTATTACACGTTAGGGGCCCGAAAGCGTTACATAAGAAGAAGGGGGGAGGGGCATGCATAGGTTTCTAAACATTATAACACGATGGTTGGTAACAAATCAAATCAAACAAAATAAAGAGAACAAAATAAATTTAGCATCGAGTACGTACATCGGGTACCTACATATTTGCCGAGTTGCCGCTAATATGTTTGCGTATTCAATCGTAGAACTCTTCGTCGTAGTTCTACGAAAATCCTTTTTTATCAATTTACAGCTGTTCTAACCAGTATTACTTAGCTCGGCCATGACTAACTTAAGTTAGACGTTTGAGGTTTGTTGGGCTATGCAGAATCCGCTGCTGCCACTTTATATCTGACAAAAATAGCTTCTTTAATTTAAATAGTATTACCATAAGTTAGCCAATTCGACAAGGCACGGAGGAAAAATTAAAGAAAATGCACACTTTGAAATAAGCATTTCGTTCTCAAAACAACAGTGTTGCCAAATAAGCCGTGATTATTGCTCCCAGTGGGTGAAGAAATGACTTTCTTGAAATATTTGCGCAGGCTCATGAGGACACAAAAGAGAACACAAACGGGCACAATCTAACAACTGGTTTATGTTCTGAAAAACATTCGCCCAATACCCCCCAGATTTGCGCCATCTGGTTACCAAAACCATTTCAACTGCGCGCATATCAAAAGCAGCTTACAATCACAAGACCGGAGCGCAATTTCTTACGCTAGTAGGGCAACCGAAAGTTGGCTAAAACACTTAACTCTCTGCTTGTCTATCAGATAGGCTTTCATTATTTCTCTTAAAATTCTATTTTGATGCCTATATTACAAGCTAGTGTCACTAAAACAAGGAGAACATGCGCACTGATTGCAATGAAGTGATAAATGTGTATTCGAGTGACCTTTCAGACTCGACATATGCTTCCTTAGCCTCATGTTATTACATCTTCCAGCCTACCCTATATATACACAGCCACACGTCAGAGATACACAATACACCACATTGTGTGCACATTGAACAAATTGGGCGCTTGTGTGTTATGCTGCATTCCTTATGTATCCTTCTCACTTTGTCACATTTCTGGTTCACTGACGCGCACTCTCCTACAATTTTGTTTTTGGCTGAAAACACCACGTTGACATCCTACCTTACAGCTACCTTTTTTATTCTGTGCGTGTACAAAGATCGAGACTTTTTAAGCCCATGTACATTGATGGAGACTTGGCATTCTGCCAAGAGACTTGTCAATGCCAGGGCGTGTGCCTGCGCCAACATTTCAAGATGGGTATGCTCCAACTAGGCCGATTTGCAGTTTTGCTTAAAAAATTACCGTTTCCTACAATATCAGAAAGAAATTGAGTATGAAGCACAGCTGGCAAATATTAACAACTAATAAATTATGTCTTAATATGGGCCTCTATTTGTGCCTCACATTTCCTTGGCAAGCAGAGCTATGTGTTTATAAGGCTTGTTATATCTATACTTCATTGTGACTGTCTTATAGGTTTGACTCAGTCAGAATCGACATTGCTTGATCAAAGAAAGTTTAACATTGACAGTCACTTCTAATTAAGGAAACACGTCAGTGATTAGTTGATCACTACAAAGTAGTGTTTTCTTTAATCATCTTATTAACCAACTTATTACGTCGAAGTTCATAATTGTAGCAGCAACACTTTTATTTGCAGCAACACATAATTGTAGCAGCAACACCAGCAGCAACACTTTTATTTCATTTAATTTTTTCAGATCTTCTGCGGATGACAGCTCCTCCGACGTGCCAGCTCATCGCTTCATGACTCTACTAGCGACCGGCACTCCACCTGGAGGAGGCGTCGTCGTGAGTGGTGGCAATGGCGGAGGCAAGTCGTCCGCCTTCAGCATCGAAAGTCTCCTGGCGTCTCGAGGAGGCTCTCGGGAACAGGCGAAACACGTGACACCGCTGCGGTTACCAATGGCGACAACGACGGCGAGCGGCTTTCCACTCGTAGTCCAGCAACCAATGGGCTTTCTGGTACGTCCTGAGCTCCAGGAACGCGGCTGTGACTGATGAAGGTGACATCAGCATTGAAGGAGTTCAACAGCAACGTCAGCAACAGCAGCAGCGGGACTGCTGCAGCTCAGCTGAGGACGACTTCAGTGATCCTGACGTCACCGGTTGCGAGGACGAGGATTCTATCTCGCAAATGGACAGCAAACGGACCTCCAGAAGAGAGCTAGCAGACGACGACGATGACGTCAGTGTCGGTGGTGGGGACGTTCGCGTTGACGACGATGGTGACGTGTCCTTGCGTGGGGACAGGAACAGGGACGTAGTGTCTGAGGACGAATCGGCTTCCATCCACGTAGCGGTCGATGACGACGGTGTGGACGGGGATGACGAAAGGGATGCGTGGTAAGGATGGTGACGGAACCACGAAGTGACACCCGGCACACGTCGACGATGCACTGGTTGATGAGCAGCGAAGACATATCGTATGCTATTGTGACATGCAACGTCCTTTCGACAATGATTGAGACCAATGCGGATCTTTTTTTATTATTTTGGCCCTGATTGCCTCGTGTGCTTAAGATGCCAAAAAAGATCCAATAGCAATCGAGGAATCCAACTCAAGGTGGTTCCAGTCGCAAACAAAACAGTACAGTGGAACAGAAATATTAAATTGGGAAACAGTCAGTGCAACACACGGCTTCAGTTGACCGTCGTAGAAATAATATATAGGTAGTGGGAATTGTTCGTAATCGTCACCATGATAAATTACAAACACAAAGGCATCTCTGGGCGGTACATATTGTGCGCAGTACGGCTTGTATTCCATCGTCGTGAGGGAAGCGTGGAATCGTGAAAGCTGTGCCTAATTTTCAAGCGAAAGAATCTGCTATACACTGGCGGAACTGCCTGAGGCACTCCTGTTCATGTGACATTCGCACATATTTGAAATGAACAGTGTTGTGGTTGTGTCTGCTGCCCAACAGGCCTTTGCAATCGTGCGGTGTGGATTCTCTGGTCTCACATTTTTCGATGTGCGACAGTGACTTTGCCTAGATTTTGCAAGGGACATTGTGGTTCTTTCGTTCTCTATTTATTATGTATATGTCTCCGTTACAACTTCTATTCAAGTGCAAATGTAGGTGCGGGTATCTTTGGGGTTACGAAAGACGTCAGAACTTAGTAAATTAGCTGTTGAAGACCAGAAATGATGCGTCAGTGTGTACTTGTTTGCATGCTTGCATGTGTGTGCTTGAACTTTAGATGACGCAGGTATGTTTTTTTCTTTTTTTTCTCTGACAAGGAAGGCCCACGTTGTGACTTAGTCAAGAAAGAAAGTCTCTGAAGATGGTTGTGTGATTTAAAGCGACATTACGTCATTTTCGTGAATAGATTGACCTGTTTTCAATTCTTACCTGTGTTTTGTATTCCACCGCAATATTGAAGAAAAAGAAATTAAGGATTTAATACAGCGTATGTATTCATCATTTAGGTGGGAGGATGATACCGCGCTTGCGGTCATTTTCGAGGTCTATTCTCTGGTAAATAGCAGAGGACTGCTGGATTGTCGAGGCAAACGAAAAGAATAGTTAAAATAAACAAGATGGAAAAGATGACATCAAGGATACGAACAAAACCCCAATAATGTATACTATCCTGAAGCAGCACTTAACTGGACATAAAATACTAACTCAGGAATCAAACCAGCTGTGTGTAAGCAATACAGACTTATTAAAAATGATGCCAACGAGTCAAAATACTACGTCATTGGACAAAGTGGAATATGGTTAGCTGTTCCGATGTGACCGATGGAAGTGGATCTAGAGACATGAAATACCACTATTTGAAACAGAGATAGCAGGAAAGGGGGTGTCACAAACAAAACCGTATGTTAAAATTATTGACAACACTATAAAACAGCCGTTAAAAATGAGGAAATTGATATTACAATTTTAATGGTATAATGATGTGGTTGAGTCCACAGTACACATAACTAGACCAATTGAACAGAAAGACAATAAAATAGACTTAACGCAAAATGACACAAAACATGCGAGTTTTAACAGTAACTGTTGTTGAACTTAGCAGATATCTAAAGAAATTACAGCGAAAAATCGCCCTGAGAAGAATTCATAACAACTCTATTGTTAAGCAATTTAGAAGACGTTGTATGTGACAACTTCAAAACACTGTACGCGCTCTGCTTTATATATTAGAATATACGATAAAGTTGAAAATGGTGAAAATATAATTGAAACCAATGCCTCTAAGATGGTGGGCGGGTGGCGCGTTTCTCTCCAGTCCGTCCCTACCGCATGGCGAGAGCGCGTGTCCAGAGACGGGTGTGGCGCGCTCTTATCTCCACACCGCGGCGCTTTCACAGAGGGCTGAAAAGGCTGCCACACTGTTGGCACAGCTTGCATTTGGTGAGGAAAAAATGCTTTTGCGCATTTACATAGGCTGCCGCTCATATGAAAATGTCGGTTTATGGTGTACGAGAGGCAAAGTCTATGCTCAGTCGTATACATACTCAAACGGACTTTATTTGCTGCAGGTTTGCGCCATGCATATCACAATCGCGATGGGTCCTAAATATATACGTAAGTGCGGCAAACTTAACAACTTCGAAGTTTCTGTACTGTATGGTATGGCGGCACTGGCGAAGAAAAAAAAAGTGACAGCCGGATGCGTAGGCGAAGTTAAGAAAATTGCTGCGTTCTGCGCTCATGGGTAACACTCGAATAAATGGGTTCCTGTATCTTTTCTTTCATGGAGCTAGACCTGTTTTACATCGTAAAGCCGCTTCAGGAATCATCGCAGACACATTCATGTAATCACAGCTGACGCAAATGCCGCGCTCGCATAGCGCACCCCACTTCGCACTCGGCCGCGAGGCTTCCCCAGGTTCCCTTTCCATGCAGCTACCTCCTGTCAAGCAGTAGAAGCGGGAGACAAAGAGAAGGGGTGCATGTGGTCGCCATACGTCTACACTACATCTAGACTGAACATTGCCGGTTCTGCGATGAACACGGGCTGGTTACAGACTCTGAGTTTTACGCACTAGGAGCTTTACAGTGTTCAGTGCATACGTTGGGCGTGGTAAGAACAACATGAAAATCTTCGCTTGTTCAAGAAGAATGCAACGTGCGTTCAGTGTTTATTGGACCTGCTATAAAACACTGCGCGTTAAATAGCAGTGACACTTTGCCCTTCTTTCTTCAGTAGTTTACCCCGACGATTATTTAGTTTTCTTCAGAAAGAC